GCATAGAAGTGGATTATATGAGTCTCCAGTGACATATAATCCAGATTATCTGCTTTGAACTGGATTATTTGACAGTGGAGACTCAGATAATCCAGGCCCACTTCTGCACTGCCGTATAATCTACATTATCAAATCAGATAATCCACATTATCTGCTTAGAAGTGGATTATATGAGTCTCCAGTGCCATATAATCCGGATTCTCTGCTTTGAAGTGGATTATATGGCGCTCCAGTGCCATATAATCCAGATTATCTGCTTTGAACTGGATTATATGACAATGGTGATTTAGAAGTGGATTATATGAGTCTCCATTGCCATATAATCTGGATTATCTGCTTTGAAGTGGATTATATGAGACTCCAGTGCCATATAATCCAGATTATCTGATTTAAAGCAGATTATATGGCAGTGTTAACTCATATAATACAGGCCACTTCTACATTGCCATATAATTCAGTAGATAATCTTATCTACTTTGAAGTGGATTATATGAGTCTCCAGTGCTTATAATCCGGATTATCTGATTTGAACTGGATTATATGGCAGTGGAGACTCACATAATCTAGGGCCCTTCTGCACTACTATCTAATCCAGATTATCAAAATTGGATAATCCACATTATCTGCTTAGAAGTGGATTATATGAGTCTCCAGTGTTTATAATCCGGGTTATCTGCTTTGAAGTGAATTATATGGCAGTGTTAACTCATATAATACAGGCCACTTCTACATTGCCATATAATTCAGTAGATAATCTTAATTATCTACTTTGAAGTGAATTATATGAGTCTCCAGTGCCATATAATCCGGGTTATCTACTTTGTAGTGGATTATATGGCAGTGGAGACTGAGATAATCCAGGCCGACTTCTGCACTGCCATATAATCCACATTATCAAATCAGATAATCCACATTATCTGCTTAGAAGTGGATTATATGAGTCTCCAGTGCCATATAACCCGGATTATCTGATTTGAACTGGATTATATGGCAGTGGAGACTCAAATAATCCAGGCCCACTTCTGCACTGCTATCTAATCCAGATTATCAAATCGGATAATCCACATGATCTGCTTAGAAGGGGGTTATATGCATCTCCACTGCCATATAATCCACATTATCTGATTTGAAGCAGATTATATGGCAAGGTTGACTCATATAATACAGGCCACTTCTACATAGCCATATAATTCAGTAGATAATCTTAATTATCTACTTTGAAGTGGATTATATAAGTCTCCAGTGACATATAATCCAGGTTATCTGCTTTGAAGTGGATTATATGGCAGTGGAGACTCAGATAATCCAGGTCCACTTCTGCACTGCTATCTAATCCATATTATCTTCTGCACTGCCGTACATTCTGCACATTATCAAATCAGATAATCCACATTATCTGCTTAGAAATGGATTATATGAGTCTCCAGTGACATAATCTGGATTATCTGATTTGAACTGGATTATATGGCAGTGGAGACTGAGATAATCCAGGCCCACTTCTGCACTGCCGTACATTCTGCACATTATCAAATCAGAGAATCCACATTATCTGCTTAGATGTGGATTATATGAGTCTCCAGTGCCATATAATCCAGATTCTCTGATTTGAAGGGGGTTATATGACACTCCAGTGCAATATAATCCAGATTATCTGCATAGAAGTAGATTATATGAATCTCCAGTGCCATATAATCCGGGTTATCTGCTTTGAAGTGAATTATATGGCAGTGTTGACTCATATAATACAAGCCACTTCTACATTGCCATATAATTCAGTAGATAATCTTAATTATCTACTTTGAAGTGGGTTATATGCGTCTCCAGTGCCATATAATCCAGATGATCTGCTATTAAGTGGATTATATGAGTCTCCGCAGCCATATAATCCAGATGATCTGCTATTAAGTGGATTATATGAGTCTCCAGTGCCATATAATCCGGATTATCTGCTATTAAGTGGATTATATGAGTCTCCACAGCCATATAATCCAGATCATCTGCTATTAAATGGATTATATAAGTCTCCAGTGCCATATAATCCGGATTATCTGCTATTAAGTGGATTATATGAGACTCCAGTGCCACATAATCCAGATTATATCCTTTGAAGTGGATTATATGAGTCTGCAGTGCCATATAATCCAGGTTATCTGATTTAAACCAGATTATATGGCACTGGAGACTCATATAATACAGGCCACTTCTACATTGCCATATAATTCAATAGATAATCTACATTATCTACTTTGTAATGGATTATATGAGTCTCCACTGCCGTATAATCCATATTATTTACTTTGAAGTGGATTATGTGTCTTCATGCCATATAATCCATGTTATCTGCTTTCAAGAGGATTATATGCATCTCCACTGCCATATAATCCAGATTATTTGATTTAAAACAGATTTTATGGCAGTGTTGACTCATATAATACACGCCACTTCTACATTGCCATATAATTCAGTAGATAATCTTCAAACACTCTCTGCTTCATTTGGAAGAATGCTGCACTCGCAGGGCTCAGGTTGTGTAGTATTTCGGTGTCGATGTTGACTTTGGTAGAGAGGTGGCTGCCAAGGTAGTGGAAATGGTCAACATTTTCTAATGTTACACCATTAAGCTGTATTTCTGGCATTGGAGGTCAGCTGTGACCAGCAGTGCTGTAGATTTTGAAGAGGCACAAATGGAGGGCGAAAGAGAGAAACGTGCCAAGGGGAAGGCACGTCAAGCCATCCCCGACTGGGACCGCCTTCCACTTGGAAACCAATGCCCTCACTGCGGGAGAAGATGCAGATCAAGAATAGGGCTCTACAGTCACCTAGGGACACACCAGTTCACTGATCTTGGAAGACAATCCTACTCAGACAATGAGGCATCGCCTAAGTAAGTAAGTATGTAAAATGAACTACAACTCCAAATCTCAAGATCAATGCCCACCAAACCCTTCCAGTATTTTCTGTTGGTCATGGGAGTTCTGTGTGCCAAGTCTGGTTCAATTCCATCGTTGGTGGAGTTCAGAATGCTCTTTGATTGTAGGTAAACTATAAATCCCAGCAACTACAACTCGCAAATGTCAAGGTCTATTTTCCCCAAACTCCACCAGTGTTCACATTTGGGCATATTGAGTTTTTGTGCCAAGTTTGGTCCAGATCCATCATTGTTTGAGTCCACAGTACTCTTTGAGTGTAGGTGAACTACAACTCCAAAATTCAAGGTCAATGCCCACCAAACCCTTCCAGTATTTTCCGTTGGTCATGGGAGTTCTGTTTGCCGAGTTTGATTCAATTCAATTGTTGGTGGAGTTCAGAATGCTCTTTCATTGTAGGTAAACTATAAATCCCAGCAACTACAACTCCCAAATGTCAATGTCTATTTTCCCCCAAATTCCACCAGTGTTCACATTTGGGCATACTGAGTATTTGTGCCAAGTTTGGTCCAGATCCATCATTGTTTGAGTCCACAGTACTCTTTGAGTGTGGGTGAACTACAACTCCAAAACCCAAGGTCAATGCCCACCAGTCTCTTCCAGTATTTTCTGTTGGTCACGGGAGTTCTGTGGGCCAGGTCTGGTTCAATTATATCATTGGTGGGGTTCACAATGCTCTTTGATTGTAGGTGAACTATAAATGTCAAGGTCTATTTCCCCCAAATTCAATCTGTGTTTATATTTGGGCATATTGAGTATTCCTGTCACGTTTGGTCCAGATCCATCATTGTTTGAGTCCACAGTACTCTTTGAGTGTAGGTGAACTACAACTCCAAAACTCAAGGTCAATGATCATATTGAGTATTTGTGCCAGGTCTGGTCCAGATCCATCATTGTTTGAGTCCACAGTGCTCTCTGGATGTAGGTGAACTACAACTCCAAAACTTAAGGTCAATGCCCACCAAACTCTGTTGGTCACGGGAGTTCTGTGAGCCAGGTCTGGTTCAATTATACCATTGGTGGGGTTCACAATGCTCTTTGATTGTAGGTGAACTATAAATCCCAGCAACTACAACTCCCAAATGTCAAGGTCTATTTTCCCCAAATTCCACCAGTGTTCACATTTGGGCATATTGAGTATTTGTGCCAACTTTGGACAAGATCCATCATTGTTTGAGTCCACAGTACTCTTTGAGTGTAGGTGAACTACAACTCCAAAACTCAAGGTCAATGCCCACCAAAGTCTTCCAGTATTTTCTGTTGTTCATGGGAGTTCTGTGTGCTGAGTTTGATTCAATTCCATCATTGGTGGAGTTCAGAATGCTCTTTGATTGTAGATGAAGTATAAATCCCAGCAACTACAACTCCCAAATGTCAAGGTCTGTTTTCCTCAAACTCCACCAGTGTTCACATTTGGGCATATTGAGTATTTGCGCCAAGTTTGGTCCAGATCCATCATTGTTTGAGTCCACAGTACTCTTTGAGTGTAGGTGAACTACAACTCCAAAACTCAAGGTCAATGCCCACCAAACCCTTCCAGTCATTTTCAGTTGGTCACGGGAGTTCTGTGTGTCGAGTTTGATTCAATTCCATTGTTGGTGGAGTTCAGAATGCTCTTTCATTGTAGGTAAATTATAAATCCCAGCAACTACAACTCCCAAATGTCAAGGTCTATTTTCCTCAAACTCCACCAGTGTTCACATTTGGGCATATTGAGTATTTGCGCCAAAGCTGGTCCAGATCCATCATTGTTTGAGTCCACAGTACTCTTTGAGTATAGGTGAACTACAACTCCAAAACTCAAGGTCAATGCCCATCAAACTCTTCCAGTATTTTCTGTTGTTCATGGGAGTTCTGTGTCGAGTTTGATTCAATTCCATTGTTGGTGGAGTTCAGAATGCTCTTTGATTGTAGGCGAACTATAAATCCCAGCAACTACAACTCCCAAATGACAAAATCAATTCCCCCCAACCCAACCAGTATTCAGATTTGGGCGTATGGGGTATCTGTGCCAAATTGGGTCCAGTGAATGAAAATACACCATGCATATCAGATATTTACATGACGATTCAGAACAGGAACAAAATGACATTTATGAAGAAGCAACGAAAACAATGTTCTGGTTGGGGGTCAACACAACATGAGGAACTGGATTAAGGGGTCGCGGCATTAGGACAGTGGAGAAACACTGCCTTATGTATTTAGAGGTGTGTCTACATTGGAGAATGAATGTAGTTTGGCATGACTTTGCTATGGCTGAATGCTATGGAATCCTAAGATGTATAGCTTGCCACTCTTTGGCTGACGATCTGGTAAACTACAACTCCCAGTTTCCCATAACACCGAGCCGTGGCAGTTCAAGTAGTGCCAAAGCGCATTCGATCCACAGTGTAGATGCAACCGTCTTCCTTGGCTCTCCCCATAGAGATCTGTGGGGCGGAGGGTGTCAGGATTCATTTAGTTATGTATGTGTTTGAAATGTGCTTCTATATATTTCCAAGATGGATTCCACTGTGTATTCTGTGCAGAATGTTTATTCTATGAGGCTGTGATTAAGTGAACTTGAGAAGTAAGATAAGGTTTGCTCTTTGCTGGGAACAGAAGGGAGTAACTAGTCTCAGCAAGAAGAGATAAGCAGATGTGAAGAGACTTTCGTTTTGACTAGTTCCTGCCTGAATTGTAGCTCGCTGTAGTAAGACGTGTCTATTGAATGTACTTAGTAATCTTAGTTTCTTTTGTAACTCAAAGCCTGCAGAGTCCTTATTTTACAACACAGTGTCTGCTGATCTAGCAATCCATCTGCTGTGCACCGCCAAACTCTGACAGAGGGGTAGGCCAATGGGGACGAAGGGGCCCAGGTGGGGCCCCTCATTGGCGCAGCTCCACATAATTAGCTGGAAAGAGGCCCTCCTTGCCATTGCAGCGCCCGCGCCACCAGCCCTCGTCGATCTGTTCGATATCGGTGATGGTTTCTCCAGGGAGGAAGGAGATTTCGTCATCCCCGTCTGCAAAAAGAAAGAGAGGTAGGGATAGATGACCACAGTGAGCATTCGCATAACAGCGGGCACATCTACACAGAAGAATTAACACAGTTTGACAGCACTTCAGCTGCCATGGCTCTTGAAGCCAGGCAAAGACCGTAATGACCCAAAAAGCTACAGACCAATCTCCCTGTTGTGCCACCTCTACAAAGTTCTGGAGAGACTTATTTTGCATAGAATTATGGAAAATATAGACCCTGTCTGATCCCACAGCAAGCTGGCTTCAGAAAAGGCAAAAGCTGCACATCGCAAGTGCTGAACCTGACTCAGCACATAGAAGATGGCTTTGAAAGGCAGCAGATCACAGGAGATGTCTTCATAGACCTGTCAGCAGCCTATGATACTGTGAACCACTGCCTCCTCCTGAGAAAAATGTATAATATCACAAAGGACGACCACCTCACCCGCCTCATAGGAAACCTGCTACAAAACAGGAGCTTCTTTTGTTGAGTTCCAGGGCCAGAGAAGCAGATGGCGGAAACAGAAGAACGGCCTGCCTCAGGGGAGCGTGCTTGCTCCATCCATGTTCAACATCTACACAAATGACCAGCCACTGCCAGAAGGGACAGAGAGCTTCATCTATGCTGATGATCGTGCCATTACTGCTCAAGCAGGGAGCTTTGAGATGGTAGAACAGAAGCTCTCCGAAGCTCTAGGTGCTCTTACTGCCTATTACAGGGAAAACCAGCTGATCCCTAATCCATCTAAAACACAGACATGTGCCTTTCACCTTAAGAACAGACAAGCATCCCGAGCTCTGAGGATTATTACCTGGGAAGGAATCCCACGGGAGCATTGCAGCACACCCAAATACCTGGGAGTCACTCTGGACCGTGCTCTTACCTACAAGAAGCACTGCCTGGACATCAAGCAAAAAGTGGGTGCCATGGGCCTCTCATTGCAGATGCCGCATCAGAACCAGAATAGTTTTATTTGTCATCATGCTATTGCACAAGGAAATTGCATGCCTTCCTTTGTACATGCCACAAAACAACTCACCCATCCCACACCCTCATAAGTGACCCGCATAAGCAATACTCCAGAGAACAAGAGCAGGATTCAAAATGATCTTGACAGATTAGAGAGATGATTGGCCAAAACTAACAAAATGAAGTTCAACAGGGACAAATGCAAGATACTCCACTTAGCAGAAAAAAAATGCAAAGATACAGAATGGATGAGGCCTGGCTCGAGAGCAGGACATGTGGACATGTGGAAAAGATCTTGGAGTGCTCGTGGACAGCAAGTTAAACATGAGCCAGGAATGTGATGTGGCAGCAAAAAAAGCCAATGGGATTTTGGCCTGCATCAAGAGGAGCATAGTGTCTAGATCTAGGGAAGTCATGCTCCCCATGCTCTATTCTGCCTTGGTTAGACCACACCTGGAATATTGTGTCCAATTCTGGGCACCACAATTGAAGAGAGATATTGACAAGCTGGAATGTGTCCAGAGGAGGGCGACTAAAATGATCAAGGGTCTGGAGAACAAGCCCTATGAGGAGCGGCTTAAGGAGCTGGGCATGTTTAGCCTGAAGAAGAGAAGGATGAGAGGAGATATGATAGCCATGTATAAATATGTGAGAGGAAGCCACAGGGAGGAGGAGGGAGCAAGCTTGTTTTCTGCTTCCCTGGAGACTAGGACGCAATGGAACAATGGCTTCAAACTACAAGAAAGGAGATCCATCTGAACATGAGGAAGAACTTCCTGACTGTGAGAGCCGTTCAGCAGTGGAACTCTCTGCCCCAGAGTGTGGTGGAGGCTCCTTTGGAAGCTTTTAAACAGAAGCTGGATGGCCATCTATCAGGGGTGATTTGAATGCAATATTCCTGCTTCTTGGCAGGGGGTTGGCCTGGATGGCCCATGAGGTCTCTTCCAACTCTTTGATTCTATGATTCTATGACCCACCTCCTTGGTAGTCATAAAGGGCCACCGCAGACAAGCCTCCGTCTCCCACTTCATAGATCGGTCCTTCTGTTCCTGCAGGAGAAGAAAGCAGAAACGGTCAGTCTTAGAATCAATCATAGAGTAGAAAATTGGAAAAGACCCCAAAGGCCATCCAGTCCAACCCACTTCTACCAAGAAGGAAAAGCACCATCAAAGCACTCCCAACAGATGGCTATCCAGACTCTGTTTGAAAGCCTCCAAAGAAGGAGTTTCCACTGGACTCTGAGAAAGAGACTTCCATTCCTGAACAGCTTGTATGTTCAGGAAGTTCTTCCTAATGTTCAGGTGGAATCTCCTGCCGCTTGAACCCATGGCTCCATTGAGTCCTAGTCTCCAAGACAGCGGAAAACAAGCTTGCCCCTCTTCCTTATGACCCCCTTTCACATATTCACGCATGGCTTCTCTCATGTCTCCTGTCAACCTTCTCTTCTGCAAGCTAAACAGACCCAACTCTTTAAGATGCTCCTCAGAAGGATTATTCATGATCTCCAGACCTTTGATCCTTTGAGTCACCCACTTCTTCTGGACACCTTCCATCTTTGATGGAAGATCTAGGACTATCCTTGATCTAAACCAGTCATGGGCAAACTTGGGCCCTCCAGGTGTTTTGGTCTTCAACTCCCACAATTCCTAACAGCCTTCTTCTGGACACCTTCTATTTTTGATGGAAGATCTAGGACTATCCTTGATCTAAACCAGTCATGGGCAAACTTGGGCCCTCCAGGTGTTTTGGTCTTCAACTCCCACAATTCCTAACAGCCTTCTTCTGGACACCAGCTATCTTTGATGGAAGATCTAGGACTATCCTTGATCTAAACCAGTCATGGGCAAACTTGGGTCCGCCAGATGTTTTGGTCTTCAACTCCCACAATTCCTAACAGCCTTCTTCTGGACACCTTCTATTTTTGATGGAAGATCTAGGACTATCCTTGATCTAAACCAGTCATGGGCAAACTTGGGCCCTCCAGGTGTTTTGGTCTTCAACTCCCACAATTCCTAACAGCCTTCTTCTGGACACCAGCTATCTTTGATGGAAGATCTAGGACTATCCTTGATCTAAACCAGTCATGGGCAAACTTGGGTCCGCCAGATGTTTTGGTCTTCAACTCCCACAATTCCTAACAGCCTTCTTCTGGACACCTTCTATTTTTGATGGAAGATCTAGGACTATCCTTGATCTAAACCAGTCATGGGCAAACTTGGGCCCTCCAGGTGTTTTGGTCTTCAACTCCCACAATTCCTAACAGCCTTCTTCTGGACACCTTCTATTTTTGATGGAAGATCTAGGACTATCCTTGATCTAAACCAGTCATGGGCAAACTTGGGCCCTCCAGGTGTTTTGGTCTTCAACTCCCACAATTCCTAACAGCCTTCTTCTGGACACCAGCTATCTTTGATGGAAGATCTAGGACTATCCTTGATCTAAACCAGTCATGGGCAAACTTGGGTCCGCCAGATGTTTTGGTCTTCAACTCCCACAATTCCTAACAGCCTTCTTCTGGACACCTTCTATTTTTGATGGAAGATCTAGGACTATCCTTGATCTAAACCAGTCATGGGCAAACTTGGGCCCTCCAGGTGTTTTGGTCTTCAACTCCCACAATTCCTAACAGCCTTCTTCTGGACACCTTCTATCTTTGATGGAAGATCTAGGACTATCCTTGATCTAAACCAGTCATGGGCAAACTTGGGCCCTCCAGGTGTTTTGGTCTTCAACTCCCACAATTCCTAACAGCCTTCTTCTGGACACCTTCTATCTTTGATGGAAGATCTAGGACTATCTTTGATCTAAACCAGTCATGGGCAAACTTGGGCCCTCTAGGTGTTTTGGACTTCCAGCCGGTAGGCTGTTAGGAATTGTGGGAGTTGAAGTCCAAAACACCTGGAGGGCCCAAGTTGGCCCATGACTGGTCTAGACACTAGACTCATCCCCCTGTTTCCTTCTCACCTGAGGCACCTCCATGGATGATGGGTCCGTCAGGGATCTCCTCATAGTCTTCTCCTCCATCGTCTTTGCCCAACTCGTCGTAAGTGGCTTCTTCTTCCTCCTCTTCTTCATGCGCCCCATGGACCGGCATCTCCTCATAGTCTCCTCCGGCATCGTCCTCAAAGTCCGGTGGTTCAGGGCGGTCGGAGGAGACGGCCACCTCCTCGTAGTCCCCCCCATAGTCCTCCAAGGCCTCCACGTAAGTAGGCACTTGGGGGGCACAAGGGGGCTGGGGCGGGACTCCATCTAGATTTCGGGGTGGCAGGACAGGAGGGCGGTCTTCCTCTCTCATGGTTTCCTAAAGGACATATATATACACAAACATGATTTTTGCTAAACTCAACAACATCAAAACATCAAAACAATATGCAGCACAGTGTCCTTGGTATAGAAATGAAGCATTGGTAATGAGCCTCATAGTATATGGTGGGCTCTTGGTAAATAATGTGCTCTTGATACAGAAGAAGAAGAGGAAGAGGAGGAGGAAGAAGAAGAAGAAGGAGAAGGAGAAGAAGGAGAAGGAGAAGGAAGAAGGAGGAGAGGAGAAGGAGAAAGGAGAAGAGAGGGAAGAAGGAGAGGAGAGAAGGAGAAGGAGGAGGAGGAAGGAGAGGAGGAGAGGAGGAGAAGAGAGGAGAGAAGGAGAAGGAGAAGAAGGAGGAGGAGGAGAAGGAGAAGAAGGAGAAGGAGAAGGAGAAGGAGGAGAAGGAGAAGAAGGAGGAGAAGGAGGAGAAGGAGAAGGAGAAGGAGAAGAAGGAGAAGGGAAGGGACTCGGGGCGGCTTACATGGGGCCCAAGCCCAGGGTTGTTGGTACTTAATGGGCCTCTGGAATACAATGTGATATTGGTATATCATAATCTCTTAGTTCAGTGGTTCTCAGCCTGTGGTTCTGCATATGTTGTGGCCTGCAAATCCTAGAAATCCCAGCCAGTTTACCAGTTGTTAGGATTTCTGGGAGTTGAAGGCCAAAACATCTGGGGAGCCACAGGTTGAAGGCCACTGACTTAGTATATGATGGGACCTTGGTATATAATGCGCCCATGATACATAATGGGACATTGGTGTATAATGAGCCTCATCTATATAAATAAAAATGTAATGTTCGTTTGTGGGATTAACATAACTCAAAAACCACCGGACGAATTGACACCAAATTTGGACACAAGACACCTCCAAGGTCAATGTATGTCCTTCACTCAAAAAGATTGATTTTGTCATTTGGGAGTTGTAGTTGCTAGGATTTATAGTTAATCTACAATCAAAGAGCATTCTAAACTCCACCAGTGAGGGAATTGGGCCAAACATGGCACACAGGACTCCCATGACCAACAGAAAACACTGAAAGGGTTTAGTGGGCATTGACCTTGAGTTTGGGAGTTGTAGTTCACCTACATCTAGAGAGCACTGTGGACTAAAACAATGATGGATCTGGACCAAACTTGGCACAAATATTCCATATGCCCAAATAAAACACAGATGGAGTTTGGGGGAACTAGACCTTAACATTTGGGAGTTGTAGTTACTGGGATTTATAGTTCACCTACAATCACAGAGCATTCTGAACCCCTCCAACGACAGAATTGGGGCAAACTTCCCAAACAGAACCCCCATTGGGGCAGCCTTTCTTCTTCCTACCTGATGGGTCGGAGGCAAAGGGGGCAAGCTGGCCTCTCGGCCAATTCTCACAGGTCCCGGTGGCAGTTTTGGGGCTGGGTCTTCATGTCTCGGTTCTTCGTTCCTCTGGATCGCCTCGAAGTGCTTTTCTTCATTTTCCTTAGAGGGAGAATAAAAGACAGGCCGTCAAAATATGTTACCATTTTGTGGGTGGTTTCTCTCATGTCCCCGCATGAGAAGCTGGAGCTGACAGATGAGAGCTCACTCCGTCTCGCAGATTCGAACTGCCAACCTTATGGTTAGCAGTTCAGCTAGCATGAGGATTTAACCCACTGCGCCACTGCGGCTCTTATTCGGTTACTTTGGGCCAATCAGCTCTCTCATCTTCTGAGGTCATTCTAGATCCTGATCCCGTCCTCTGGGCATTAGCTGTCACTCCCAATTTAGAGTCAGATGCAAATTAGATCAGTGTGCCTAATGTGATGGGTGAAGTGAATGAAACTGTATGATTAGGGTCTTGCTAATCCTAAAATGAGAACCAATGACATTATGGAGGAGGTGAAGATTTGATTAACTTTGGCATGAAAAGTGCTGACCTGACATAACTGACCTGGGAACTTTTGGTGTTAAGAACACATGTTTACATAGTCAGAGACAATGGCACTTTAAGTTAAGGAAGTCAGAAACAACGGGCCCTTACATTGAGGAAGATAAAAACATCAGTTCCGGAACTGACGGAGCTTCATCAAATCCAGAATGACAACAGCAACAAGGTTCTATATAAGGAGACCCTTTTCTCTTTGAAAAGTGTGTCAGATCTGCGAGGAATGCAGACTCTGAACACCCACCTCCTTCCAAGATGGACTGAATGAAGAAGGACGGTGAGTTTGAATGATTGAGGGAATGGATTATGAGTGAATGTTGAGTATATATTGTTGAAGACTTTCATGGCTGGAATCACTGGGTTGTTGTGAGTTTTCCGGGCTGTATGGCCATGTTCCAGAAGAGAGAGAATGCTTCTGGAGCATGGCCATACAGCCCAGAAAACTCACAACAACCCTGTTGAGGATATGTTTCCTCTTTTTGATTGTGTAACCAATATAGCTATTGTAAAACCCGGTATTTGAGTCTGTGTCTACTTCTTTCTCTGAAAGTGCCTGATGCACTCTGTCCTACTGAAAACAGATTGAAGAACACTTTTAAGGTTCAAAAAGTATTCATGACACCTCTATACCGTCATCCAAGTCATGAATAAAGAGCTGGAATATGTTGGAGTTCAGCCTGTGATTGTGTCTAATAATCAGGGTACTCTGGATGTTGGGAGTGACTAATGATATGTCTAATGATGAGGTTGCCCTAGCGAATGACAATGAGATTTCTGTTCAAAGTGACTTTTCTGATGAGAATATTCCTGAAGGGTTTGGGGATGATGGTCTGTTTCCTGGGCCTGAATTGCTACCAGAGAATTCCCAAGGCTCTGAGCCTGAGAAAGGCTCAGCACCTGGGCCAGCTGCAGAAATTAATGAGCCAGTAGATAGAAGAAATGCTTTCAGTCAGCAAAGGAAACAAACCAGGCTCTCAGGTGCTCTGTCAGATTGCAGGAGAGACTGATAGTAGATTCAAGAAATCCTTTCCTGGCCACTTGGGATATAGAGTAGATCAGGGGATAAAAGTGCCAAGTACAGAATCTGTAGTCAGATGAAGCAACATTGGAATTGAGTCAGGACGTTGTCTCAGGTCCCTGGAAGCCTTGCCTTGGATAGATTCTTGTATCAAATACCTTGTAATTTCCCTGTTGAAGTGCCTTGTTTGATTCATGCTCAAGTTTTGGGGTTTTGCCTTGAAAGTTCCAGTATTTGTTGTCACGATCCGTGATGGACTATTTCCTGGATTTGTTGTTCTTATCTTTCCTTTCTACCTAATTGGATTTACCTTTTTTGTGGATTTTTTTTTACTGCTACTGCTTTTAAATATCTCCAATAAACTGCTTGCATTTTACTCAGCTGTGTGATGTTTAAAGTCAGAGGGCTTCCTGGCCTGGAGTGCAACAGAATAGCCCTGAAAGACCCAGGACAGGACCCTCTTTATGGCACCTAGATGGTCACTTCTCTCCAGGAGGAAGAAGAAAAGGGAGCCATTGGATAGAAGCGCCCTTTGGGTTCGGCCATTCAACCTATTCCCAATCCACCTCACAAGAGTGCACTGAACCAAGGCCTGACCTCCTTCTTCTGTTGCTCTTTGGCCGCCTGGCGCTCCTGGTGCTCCTTGGCCTGGCGTCGTGCTCGCTCTTCCTCGGCCCTTCTCTGGTTGTCTTCCTCGGCCGTCTTCGCCATGTTCTCAAAGCGCTGCCGCAGGCTCCCTGCCCCGCTGGATGCTGTTTTGCAAGGACAAGACAGAGATCAAGGGGTGTTGGTGCTCCCTCATTGCCCTGTCCCTCTATTATTAATTATCCCAACACAGATCATGAAGCCCACCTCCTCCAAGGTGAACTGAACCACCTAAACTGGGCTCTACAGGATAATAGATTTTCTATGACACACATTGGAAGAGCTTCAAGGCCAAGAACAAGCCACGAGAGTCAAGACAAAGATCCATCCAGAGGAAACGTGTTCTTGCCAAACAGCATGGGAACCACGGACTGCATAGGGAAGCCGACGAGGAAACACAACCAACAAACTATCTACAGACCTACCAAGAAGATTCAACAAATGCTACATTCAGCAAAGAACAAGAGGGATCCTCTCACCTCTGCAGGAGTCTCCCGTGTACCATGCAGCTGTGGACAAGTCTACATAGGGACCCCCGAACGCAGCATTGCCCAAACATGAATCAAGGAACATGAAAGGCATTGCAGACTAATCCAAGTAGAGAAGTCAGACACAGCAGAACACCTGATGAACCAACTTGGTTGGTTCATCAGGCGCTCTACCTGGGTGTGACTGTGAATGTGGTAATGCCTGAGTCATGTTAGATAGAAATAGCTGTCTCACCTCAGGATAAATTCACCTTGCTCAGAACACCACACACACCAAGGCTGTAGGTTTTGTAGTTTGTTAAAGAAAAGGTAAAGTCTTAAACACAAAAGTAAAGTTGCAAAAGTTCAATAGCCAAACAGAGTCTTAAATGCAAAGGCAAAGTTTCCAAAGTCCAAAGGCAAATAACATGAAGCAGATTCCATAAGCGTTGATCAAACAAGATTCCATGGCAGCATGACAGAGTCCCAAGAAGCTAAGATCCAAATCAAAGTCCCAAGAAGCCAAAAGCATTGCTCAGAAGCCAAGACAATCCAGAGAAGTTATCAGGGTGTTTGCTGAAGTTGCACTGACAAAATCAGCTCACTAAATATACTTTCCCAGCATGAAAGCACTCCTTTGATCTCTAACCTCTCTCTTGTTTGCAAGCCTTGTACTACGAGAAATCCTGAATTGCAAGCGGTCCTCCCTATCTAAATCTGCAGAGCCTTCAAGGTCAAATTACTCATTATCCTGGAGCTGGGAATCAGCAGCCTGAGAATCAGCAGGCAGAGCGCTCACAGGCTGGCTCGCCTCCTCCACCTGCACCTGTGAAGTTTCACTAAGATCAGAAACATCTTAGAATCATAGAATCATAGAATCATAGAATCAAAGAGTTGGAAGAGATCTCCTGGGCCTTCATCCAGTCCAACCCCATTCTGCCAAGAAGCAGGAATATTGCATTCAAATCACCCCTGACAGATGGCCATCCAGCCTCTGTTTAAAAGCTTCCAAAGAAGGAGCCTCCACCACACTCCGGGGCAGAGAGTTCCACTGCTGAACGGCTCTCACAGTCAGGAAGTTCTTCCTCATGTTCAGATGGAATCTCCTCTCTTGTAGTTTGAAGCCATTGTTCCGCGTCCTAGTCTCCAGGGAAGCAGAAAACAAGCTTGCTCCCTCCTCCCTGTGGCTTCCTCTCACATATTTATACATGGCTATCATATCTCCTCTCAGCCTTCTCTTCTTCAGGCTAAACATGCCCAGCTCGTTAAGCCGCTCCTCATAGGGCTTGTTCTCCAGACCTTTTATCATTTTAGTCGCTCTCCTCTGGACACATTCCAGCTTGTCAATATCTCTCTTGAATTGTGGTGCCCAGAACTGGACACAATATTCCAGGTGTGATCTAACCAAAACAGAATAGAGAGGTAGCATGACTTCCTTAGATCTAGACACTATGCTCCTATTGATGCAGGCCAAAATCCCACTGGCTTTTTTTGCCGCCACATCACATTGTTGGCTCATGTTTAACTTGTTGTCCACACATGGGACAACATCCCTTCCCATGGGAAACTGGAACTCCTCGTCTTCAGCATCAACATCATCTGTATCAACAGACAGATTAGAGAGATGGGCCAAAACTAACAAAATGAAGTTCAACAGTGACAAATGCAAGATACTCCACTTTGGCAGGAAAAACGAAATGCAAAGATACAAAATGGGGGACGATGAGGCCTGGCTTGAGAGCAGTACGTGTGAAAAAGATCTTGGAGTCCTCGTGGACAACAAGTTAAACATGAGCCAACAATGTGATGTAGCGGCAAAAAAAAAACCAATGGGATTTTGTCCTGCATCAAGAGGAGCATAGTTTCTAGGTCCAGGGAAGTCATGCTCCCCATGCTCTATTCCGCTTTGGTTAGACCACTTTACCTGGAATATTGTGTCCAATTCTGGGCACCACAATTCAAGAGAGATATTGACTCTAAGCTGGAATGTGTCCAGAGGAGGGCGACTAAAATGATAAAGGGTCTGGAGAACAAGCCCTATGAGGATCGGCTTAAGGAGCTGGGCATGTTTAGCCTGAAGAAGAGAAGGCTGAGAGGAGACATGATAGCCATGTATAAATATGTGAGAGGAAACCACAGGGAGGAGGAGGGAGCAAGCTTCCTTTCTGCTTCCCTGGAGATTAGGACGCAATGGAACAATGGCTTCAAGAGAGGAGATTCCATCTGAATATGAGGAAGAACTTCCTCATATTCAGATATGAGGAAGAACTTCCTGACTGTGAGAGCCGTTCAGCAGTGGAACTCTCTGCCCCGGAATGTGGTGGAGGCTCCTTCTTTGGAAGCTTTTAAGCAGAGGCTGGATGGCCATCTGTCAGGGGTGATTTGAATGCAACATTCCTGCTTCTTGGCAGAATGGGGTTGGACTGGATGTCCCAGGAGGTCTCTTCCAGCTCTTTGATTCTTTGATTCTATGATTCTATGAATGTGTGTGTATTAATGGCTGAGTCAAAACTATGTGAGAGTTATTGCAAAAGGGGTTGCATCAGCCAGTGTCCCTTACTGATTACCTATCAGCAGATGGCTGTCGCAACTCAGGATAGATTCACCTTGCTCAGAACACCATCACACACGAAGGCTGTAGGTTTTTGTAGTTTATTGAAGAAAAAGCAAAATCATAACACAAAAGTGAGGTTGTAAAAGTTCAATAGCAAAACAGAGGCTTAAATGCAAAGGCAGAGTTCTCAAAGTCTAAAGGCAAACAACATGAAGCATAATCCATAAGCATTGGTCAAACAAGAATCCATGGCAGCATGACAAAGTCCCAAGAAACCAAGATCAAAATCAAAGTCTCAAAGAGCCAAAAGCTTTGCCCAAAAGCCAAGCCATTTCCAGAGAAGTTAACAGTTAGCAAAAGTTGCACTGACGAAGGGTTGACTGCAATCAGTTCTCACTTTCCTAGCATGAAAGCATTCCTTTGACCTCTAACCTCTCTGTTGTTTGCAAGCCTTGTTCTACAGCGAACCCTGAATTGCAATCGATCCTCCCTATCTAAATCTGCAGAGCCTTCAAGGTCGAATAACTCATTATCCTGGAGCTGGGAATCGGCCGCCTGAGAATCAGGCACCTGCACATGGGAATGTTCACTAAGATCAGAAACATCTCTTGGCATGGGAAACTGAAACTCCTCGTCTTTAGTATCAACACGTCTACATCATCTGCATCAACAACAGGAATATGTTCAGGAATCTGAAACCCATCACCCTCCTTGTCCTGAAGAAGCTCAGGCTCCAGTTGAGCCACAACACTGGCTATATAAGGCGGATGAAAGAATCCATCTTTCTCTCTCCTGTGTGACTCAGTGTGAGTATCTCCCTGTGTTGGAGAACACATACATGCTGGACCACTCTGACAGAGAAGCCATTGAAATCCACAACAAGCATGTGGACAATGTCAACAGAAAGGAGGAAACCATGAAAAGGAACACAGTCTGGTGTCAAGTATTAAAAACACTAGAATCAAGACAGTAAATGCTGTGGGAACTGTACATTTGCAAGGTCTTGAGCCTTCTCTGTCAAAGAGTGTTGGATTATAACTCCCAGGATTCCATACTATTTATTTACTTATTTAGAACTTTTATATACCAGTCTTCTCACCTCCAACGAGGGACTCAGGCCGGTTTACAAGGGGGTTCATACACAATAGTTTAAAAACATCACATCAATAATGCACTAATATAAACACATTAAAGTACTATCATATAATTATATAAAGCCAAGTCGTTAGCATAAAAATCACTATTCATCCCCATCCGTCCGTGTGGTCAAAAGCCATTGCCTCACTCATCAAATGCCAGATTCCAAAGCCAGGTTTTCACCAACTTTCTAAAGGTCAGGAGGGAAGGGGCAGTTCTAATCTCCAATGGGAGAGAGTTCCAGAGCCGAGGGGCCACCATCGAGAAGGCCCTGTCCCTCGTTCCCACCAGATGCGATTGCTAAGATGGTGGGACCAAGAGCAGGGCCCCTCCAGACGATCTTAACAACCTTGATGGTTTGTAGGGGAGACTCCATTCGGACAGGTAAACTGGGCCAGAGTAGTTTAGGGATTTATAGGTCAACACCAGCACTTTGAATTGTGCTCGGAAGCCAATTGGCAGCCAGTGGAGCTGGCGCAACAGAGGAGTAGTATGCTCCCTGTACCCCGCTCCTGTTAGTAATCTGGCTGCCGCTCATTGGACTAATTGCAGCTTCTGGGCAGTCTTCAGAGGCAACCCCATGTAGAGAGCGTTGCAGTAGTCTAAATGGGATGTAACCAGAGCGTGGACCACTGTGGCCAAGTCAGACTTCCCAAGGTACAGGCACAGCCAGCGCAAAAGTTTAATTGTGCAGAAGCTCAGCAGTGAGTCCATGATCACTCCCAAGCTGCAAACCTGTGCCTTCAGGGGGAGTGTGACCCCGTCGAGCACACGCTGTAACCCTATGCCCTGTTCGGCCTTTCGACTGACCAGGAGTACCTCTGCCTTGTCTGGATTTAGTTTCAATCTGTTGGCCCTCATCCAGACAGTCACAGCGGCCAAGCACCGGTTCAGGACTTCAACAGCCTCCTTAGTAGCAGGTGGGAAGGAGTAACAGAGTTGGACATCATCTGCGTACAAGCCATGGCAGCTAAAGTGGGCCCAAACTGCATTGATTCTTCAGTGCAGAGGCACCCCAAGCCTAAGATCCTGCGATCCTGACAAGAGGGTGAGAAAGCATTGTCTTGGAGGAACTTACCTGCCTCCGTGGGCTTCGTCTTTTCATAGGATGAAGCGGGTGCTTCCATCTCACCAAAACCAGCGGCGCTCTGGGAAGGACAAGATACAAATATTTATTATTCCACATATTAAGAACAACGCAGGAAAACATCCACTGAGTAAATGGAGCAGAGCTGGGGGGCATTTATTTATTCATTCATGGAACTGTTTGGTTTCCTAACATTTTTATCAAAAGGCGTTTACCTGGAGAGTCTGTCTGCATTACCTGAAACATTTGGGACCAGAGATGCATCTTCACTGCAGAATGAATGCATTTTGTCACCACATGAACTCAGCGCTATAGAACTATGAGAGTTGTACTTTGGTCCTCTTGGCAGAGAAAGGTGAAGATCTTGCAGGATTCATAGAATCATAGAATCCTAGAGTTGGAAGAGACCTCATGGGCCATCCAGACCAACCCCCTTCTGCCAAGAAGCAGGAATATTGCATTCAAATCACCCCTGACAGATGGCCATCCAACCTCTGTTTCAAAGCTTCCAAAGAAGGAGCCTCCACCACACTCTGGGGCAGAGAGTTCCACTGCTGAACGGCTCTCACAGTCAGGAAGTTCTTCCTCATGTTCAGATGGAATCTCCTTTCTTGTAGTTTGAAGCCATTGTTCCATTGCGTCCTAGTCTCCAGGGAAGCAGAAAACAAGCTTGCTCCCTCCTTCCTGTGCCTTCCTCTCACATATTTATGCATGGCAATCATATCTCCTCTCATCCTTCTCTTCTTCAGGCTAAACATGCCCAGCTCCTTAAGCCGCTCCTTATAGGGCTTGTTCTCATAGGTCTTGTTCTCCCAGGATTCCACAGCATTGAGGATCAGCCATGAAAACAGTGTCAAATAGCTTGCTTACTTACTTACTTACTTAGGCTATCCCTCATTAGACAAATAGGATAGTCCTCCAGGATCAGTTTTATTGTGGATCCGTAGGTGACTGTGGAGCCCTATTCTTGACCTGCATCTTCTCCCGCAGTGAGGGCATTGGTTTCTAGGTGGGAGGCGGTCCCGGTCGGGGTTGGCTTGACGCGCCTTCCTCCTGGCACGTTTCTGTCTTTCACCCTCCATTCGTGCCTCTTCAAATTCTGCAGCACTGCTGGTCACAGCTGACCTCCAGCTGGAGCGCTCAAGGGCCAGGCCTTCCCAGTTCTCAGTGTCTATGCCAGAGTTTTTAAGGTTGGCTTTGAGCCCATCTTTCAATCTCTTTTCCTGTCCACCAACATTCCGTTTTCCGTTCTTGAGTTCGAAGTAGAGCAACTGTTTTGGGAGACGGTGGTCGGGCATCTGGACAATGTGGCCGGTCCAGCAGAGTTGATGACAGAGGATCATCGCTTCAATGCTGGTGGTCTTTGCTTCTTTCTGCATGCTGACGTTTGTCCGCTTGTCTTCCCAAGAGATTTGCAGGATTTTCCGGAGGCAACGCTGATGGAATCCAACGATCGGCAGCCAGGATGCTAACAGGAGCGGCACTCAGGGAGCATACTACTCCTCTGTTGCGCCAGCTCCACTGGCTGCCAATTTGCTACCAGGCACAATTCAAAGTGCTGGCTTTAACATTTAAAGTCCTAAATGGTTCTGGCCCGACCTACCTGTCCAAATGCATCTCCTCCTATGAACCAGTTAGGACATTAAGATAGTCTGGGGAGGCCCTGCTCTTGGTCCCGCCAGCTTCACAAGCACACCTGGCGGGGACTAGAGACAGGGCCTTCTCAGTGGTGGCCCCTCAGCTGTGGAACGCCCTTCCTACAGATATCAGATCTGCCCCCTCCCTGTTGGCATTCCGGAGGAGAGTGAAGACCTGGCTGTTCGAACAGGCATTCAACTAGGCAGTGAAATTGATTATTGGAACACGGAATAATGGATAATGATGGATTCTGTTTCTATTGATGAGACGTGATGGATTTGTTACCTTGATGTATTGATGTTTGGTGTTTAATTAATTGTTATGCTACTGTTTTTAAATGTTCAGTGAGTTTGTACTGTGTATACTGGAACTGTTGTTGTTAACCGCTCTGAGTTGCCTAAGGGCTGAGAAGAGCGGTATACAAATGAAGTAAATAAATAAATAATAAATAAATAATCATTCCAGGAGTTGCATGCGGCATCTGTAGACAGTCCATGTTTCGCAGGCATATAGCAAGATTGGGAGGACAATAGCTTTATAAACAAGCACCTTGGTATCCCTTTCACCCTCCATTCGTGCCTCTTCAAATTCTGCAGCACTGCTGGTCACAGCTGACCTCCAGCTGGAGCGCTCAAGGGCCAGGGCTTCCCAGTTCTAAGTGTCTACGCCAGAGTTTTTAAGGTTGACTTCGAGCCCATTTTGAAATCTCTTTTCCTGTCCACCAACATTACATTTTCCGTCCATGAGTTCGGAGTAGAGCAACTGCTTTGGGAGACGGTGGTCAGGCATCCAGTCTAGCAGAGTTGGTGGCGGAGGACCATCGCTTCAATGCTGGTGGTCTTTGCTTTTTCCAGCATGCTGACATTTCCCCGCCTGTCTTCCCAAGAGATTTGCAGGATTTTCCAGAGGCAGCGCGGATGGAATCGTTCCAGGAGTTGCATGTGACGTCTGTAGACAGTCCACGTCTCACAGGCATATAGCAGGGTTGGGAGGACAATAGCTTTATCAACAAGCCCCTTGGTATCCCTATGGATGTCCCGGTCCTCAAACACTCTCTGCTTCATTTGGAAGAATGCTGCACTCAGAGCTCAGGTGCTGATAGAATCGTTCCAGGAGTTGCATGTGACGTCTGTAGACAGTCCACGTCTCGCAGGCACATAGCAGGGTTGGGAGGACAATAGCTTTATGAACAAGCCCCTTGGTCTCCCTACGGATGTCCCGGTCCTCAAACACTCTCTGCTTCATTCGGAAGAATGCTGCACTCACAGCTCAGGTGCTGATGGAATCGTTCCAGGAGTTGCATGTGACGTCTGTAGACAGTCCATGTCTCATAGGCATACGACAGGGTTGGGAGGACAATAGCTTTATCAACAAGCCCCTTGGTATCCCTATGGATGTCCCGGTCCTCAAACACTCTCTGCTTCATTCGGAAGAATGCTGCACTCAGAGCTCAGGTGCTGATGGAATCGTTCCAGGAGTTGCATGTGACATCTGTAGACAGTCCATGTCTCATAGGCATACGACAGGGTTGGGAGGACAATAGCTTTATGAACAAGCCCCTTGGTCTCCCTACGGATGTCCCGGTCTTCAAACACTCTCTGCTTCATTCGGAAGAATGCTGCACTCAGAGCTCAGGTGCTGATGGAATCGTTCCAGGAGTTGCATGTGACGTCTGTAGACAGTCCATGTCTCATAGGCATACGACAGGGTTGGGAGGACAATAGCTTTATGAACAAGCCCCTTGGTCTCCCTACGGATGTCCCGGTCCTCAAACACTCTCTGCTTCATTCAGAAGAATGCTGCACTCAGAGCTCAGGTGCTGATGGAATCGTTCCAGGATTTGCATGTGACGTCTGTAGACAGTCCACGTCTCGCAGGCACATAGCAGGGTTGGGAGGACAATAGCTTTATGAACAAGCCCCTTGGTCTCCCTACGGATGTCCCAGTCCTCAAACACTCTCTGCTTCATTCGGAAGAATGCTGCACTCACAGCTCAGGTGCTGATGGAATCGTTCCAGGAGTTGCATGTGACGTCTGTAGACAGTCCATGTCTCATAGGCATACGACAGGGTTGGGAGGACAATAGCTTTATCAACAAGCCCCTTGGTCTCCCTACGGATGTCCCGGTCCTCAAACACTCTCTGCTTCATTCGGAAGAATGCTGCAGCGCTGATGGGAACGTTCCAGGAGCTGCATGTGACGTCTGTAGACAGTCCACGTCTCACAGGCATAGACAGGGTTGGGAGGACAATAGCTTTATGAACAAGCCCCTTGGTCTCCCTACGGATGTCCCGGTCCTCAAACACTCTCTGCTTCATTCGGAAGAATGCTGCACTCAGAGCTCAGGTGCTGATGGAATCGTTCCAGGATTTGCATGTGACGTCTGTAGACAGTCCACGTCTCATAGGCATACGACAGGGTTGGGAGGACAATAGCTTTATGAACAAGCCCCTTGGTCTCCCTACGGATGTCCCGGTCTTCAAACACTCTCTGCTTCATTCGGAAGAATGCTGCACTCAGAGCTCAGGTGCTGATGGAATCGTTCCAGGAGTTGCATGTGACGTCTGTAGACAGTCCACGTCTCATAGGCATACGACAGGGTTGGGAGGACAATAGCTTTATGAACAAGCCCCTTGGTCTCCCTACGGATGTCCCGGTCCTCAAACACTCTCTGCTTCATTCGGAAGAATGCTGCACTCACAGCTCAGGTGCTGATGGAATCGTTCCAGGAGTTGCATGTGACGTCTGTAGACAGTCCACGTCTCGCAGGCACATAGCAGGGTTGGGAGGACAATAGCTTTATGAACAAGCCCCTTGGTCTCCCTACGGATGTCCCAGTCCTCAAACACTCTCTGCTTCATTCGGAAGAATGCTGCACTCACAGCTCAGGTGCTGATGGATCGTTCCAGGAGTTGCATTTGACGTCTGTAGACAGTCCACGTTTCGCAGGCATATAGCAGGGTTGGGAGGACACTAGCTTTACAAACAAACACCTTGGTATCCCTACGGATATCCGGTCCTCAAACACTCTCTGCTTCATTCGGAAAAATGCTGCACTCACAGAGCTCAGGCGTTGAATCGTTCCAGGATTTGCATGTGACGTCTGTAGACAGGCCATGTCTCATAGGCATACGACAGGGTTAGGAGGACAATAGCTTTATGAACAAGCCCCTTGGTCTCCCTACGGATGTCCCGGTCTTCAAACACTCTCTGCTTCATTCGGAAGAATGCTGCACTCAGAGCTCAGGTGCTGATGGAATCGTTCCAGGAGTTGCATGTGACGTCTGTAGACAGTCCACGTCTCATAGGCATACGACAGGGTTGGGAGGACAATAGCTTTATGAACAAGCCCCTTGGTCTCCCTACGGATGTCCCGGTCCTCAAACACTCTCTGCTTCATTCGGAAAAATGCTGCACTCGCAG